ATTTTAATAGTAGAAATAAAAATAAAATCACAATTCCTGCTTTCCGGTTACACAAAGTATATAATGCGTTCTTGGGTAGCGATATACGCTTTTATAATAAGATTCCAAAATAAATGTTAGATCTTTCACCTTTTCAATTTAAGTCAGACAAAAATGCTTGGAACTGACCTCTCGTACTACACAGGACTAACTAGAAATTTCTAAACCGATTTGGTATCTACATATACATTTGACATTTAATGTTTGACTTATCGCTTTACATAATTATAGAACTATTGTAAAAATATTTTGAAAAGAGCAACTACTGAGTTTCTTACTTTCTTCCATGATTCTTCTCAGTAGAATCAGAACCACTGGACATGGAAAAGAAAAAGTTGGAGAAAACAGTGATGATAAATGATATGACTATTTAAAAGTGTATTTTAATGCCTACTTGAATAATACATATTTGAATTTTGAATTTCAAACGAGTGAAGGCAAATGTAATTTAATTAACGTAGATTACATGATAAAAACTACTTTTACGGATTTTATCGCGTTTATTTTTACTTTTTATTTACTTTTATTTTTAATTCCCGACGTTTCGGGCGCTTTGCAGCACCCATGGTCACGGGGGACTGAGATGACTGACGTCCCGATGTCATTGTTAAACCCGGAGTACCTTCAGCTTTTTTAATTATAGTTTATGGTCCGATCTATGCAAAATGAACTATGTCCTGAGGTCTTGCAGTGGTATGCTTGGGTTTAGTTTTAATTTTATTGATTATAGGATCCCAAGCAGGTGGTAGTAACGTCGGGAATTAAAAAATAAAAGTAAATAAAAAGTAAAAATAAACGCGATAAAATCCGTAAAAGTAGTTTTAATCATGTATAGTGTTCGCGTAAATATAAAAAATCATTATCATAACGTAGATTAATTCAATCACAAGAACATAACATACACAATTTTATTTACATATTTACATTTCAACCTATACCTATCTGGAAATGCATCTACTTTATTAATCTTCTGAAGAATCATTAATTTTATCAAAGGATGCCGAACTTTCCTTTGTCGGTCTTTCGGCGTGTACTTACAAATAGTAGTATTTATTTTAATTCCAGTCATTCCCAATTGAGCTTTGATTCGAGTAGATTAATTGTTTTTACTCTAATCCTTGTTGTTCTCGGAGTGATAAGTTTACAATTTGACATGAGTGACGAAGAGTCGAATAGTTCTAGTCGGAGTAGTGAGAGTTGGAGTTATAGATCTAAAAGACCTAAAAGTAAATTTGACGAGGTTTTCGACATAATTCATGCATCCCAAATTGCTTTGTGTAAATTATGCCAACATAAAAAGGTTGAAATAAAAATGAAAAACAGAAACACTTCAGGCTTAAGGAAGCATCTAATATCTTTCCACAAAAAGGAATCACAAATATTTCTTCCTGAAAAACCAAAATTAAGTGGAGATATCACAAGCTTTTTAATAACCACAGGAAAAAGTGGACAGGTAAGAAAAAATACTTATCACACAATTACATAACACATATTATGTAACTAGCGGCCGCCTGCGACTTCGTCCGCGTACAATATCTGATTTCCTATGAGATTTTGAAATGTTCTCGCTGCAAAAGTCTTAATTTACCGTAATTTATGTAAGTATAAAGAGGCTATATAGGTAAAGCTTAACTATGCAAGTATTTATTATTTAAAACTAATAAGGTAAATGTCGATCTTCATATCTATACTTTAAAAATATAGGACTTGCATGTAGCCATTTTACCCCAATTTCACCCCCTTAGGGTTAGGATTTCGTAAAACAGCTTATTCAGGATTTTATTATTAAAAACTTATAACTTTAATGCCAATTTTCGTGTCTCTAACTTCAAAAACGTAGGACTTTCATACAAACTTCCAACTCCCATTTCACTCCCTTAGGAATAGATTTTCTCAAAACCGTATCTTAACCGATCTATATGCCATAAAAGGAACCTACCTTACAAACTTCAAGTTTGTATGTTTTATAGTTCCTGAGATATCGTTATAATGAGTCAGTGAGTGGTAGTATATATATATATATATATATATATATATATATATATATATATATATATATTATAGTGTTAAATATGTATTTAAAATTCACTCATATTTTCATTTCTTTTTATAATCGGCGAAACACATGATTTACTGTTATATGATATTTCAGTCTGAAAATAGCAGTGACAACATCACGACAGATTGATTGGATGGTTAAAAAATATCTTCCCTCCTCATTTTTCGATGACGAAGCTACACAAGTATATTTTCTTTCGATCAATTTGCCCAAATATGGTGGTTCCTAAAAGGACCACACTTAGAAGGAAGGTCAACGAACGGTTTGAAGAGCTTCAATTGAATCTTAAGAAACGGCTACAACAATTTTCATCTAAAATGTTATTTACCATTGATGGATGGACGTCAATTGCTGGTAGGAGTTACTACGGGGTCGCTATTCATTATATAGACAACGAATGGAAGTATCGATCTGTAGTCCTAGATTTTATACCATCACGCGGTCGACATACTGGGGAAGATATTGCAACGATTTTCCACGAATGTTTATTGGAATATGATATAATTGATAAAATATAGTATATCACGGTAGACAACGCACTGGATCAACGAAATGCTTAAACATTATAAAAAGAGCAACTGGATTTATTGTATCTCTTTAATTTTAGACCCAAGGCATAAGACTCAGACTTTTGACATGACATTATGGGGGAAGCAAATTAAAACAGAATGCCTGCGCAAATTTAATGAACTTTATAAAGAATATAAAAGTCTACACTCAGTGAATACATCTCTAGTATCACCAAGAAATGAAAAGAAGAGTATGTGAATATGATGAAGATGAAGACGTAATAGACTTTGAGAAATTGTATGCATGTCCCTCGACGTCATCTGGATCTGGATCTTTTCATCAAGGCTTAGTTATAGACGAGTTGGAGGAGTACCTAAGTAAACCCAGAGCCGCCAGTTCGGAAGACATTTTAGAATGGTGGAGGACGCATGAGACAGAATATCCGACTTTATCGAAGATGGCCCGTGATTTTCTTTCAATACATGCAACTTCAGTACCTGCTGAGAGATTATTTTCTAAAGCATCATTAGTAATTAGAAAACATAGAAATAGGTTAAGTGATGAGTCAGCCAGACGTTTACTTTGTATTAATTCTTGGTCAAAAGAATTAATATAAAGTAACAGTAATGTCAAAGCTGTTGTGTACTGTTATGTAATTTTATTTGTATTGTATTTTATTTTTTTATTTAAATAAATGGTAAATTGTATAACTCTTTTATTCCATTTCATATAAGGGTCTATCAATCTCTTTCTAGACAGATAATGTTCTTTATAATACAGTCAAGTTAATGTCATTAATTTGTTTTTTATATGTTTTGACTAAGTTTTAGCACATGTAAGCTTATTAAATGTAAACGTTTATTAAGAAATAGACTAACTCCCGTGGCCGTAAGACTTGGTAGACAGCTCAGTTGGTTGGAGCATCGGCACGGATCGCTTAGGTCGTGGGTTCAAATCCTACCCGGTATTAGTTGATTTTTCGAATTTCTCATTAAATGTTTAGACATTTATTAATTTGGTTGGTCTTTCTATGGCTATGTTAATTCAAGCTCAAAATGTGGCTACTCTGTTAAGTTGTTCTAAGATCTAAAGTAACGTTTAATAAATAACAATAGGCTAATAGGTAATTGCGAGACTTGCGAGACTCTTGCTGCAAGACCAAGACCAAGAACAAGACTGAGAGCGCAATACCAAGACCAAGAACAAGACCAGGTGTATTGGCGCAAGACTAAGACCAAGACTGGCTAAGTCTCGTCTTGTTCTTGCATTTGGGCAACACTACCAGTAATAATGGTTAATCTCCCAACCTCCTGGGGTGCAATAATTTCTCTGGTTTTTCTAAAAATTGTATACATCTGTTGCTCGCACTCGCTTTGTGAAATCAACAAATGTTGAATGTTGCTCCAAAGCAAATATAAACTAATAAATTATTGAGTTTTTCTTAATAAATGTCAATCTCAGTTCCAAATAATAGACTCTGAAACACAAACACTACTTCCTTCCCGGCCAAATATTTTTGCCTATAATTCAACTATTCAGCCAGGAAGTCCATTAAATATTTGGTATTCGGCGTGTGGTCGAATATACTATACCTTGCAAATCTAGTAATAAGTCATTATATCTTAGTCCTCATCCTCAAGAGTGACTGAGTATTGGTTGGTCAGCATTACTTCTAAATAATATAAAAAATAGCCCCTGTAACCACACGTGCTGTAAAGCATGTGAAACGTCGGGAATTAAAAACAAATTAATTCAATGTGATAAAATTCATATAAATAGTTTTATACAATCCTTGGTTTACAAGTTGTATTTTATTATACTGTAAATAACAAGTAAATTCTAATCTTTGCCAGTCCTGTCCACTTTAGTGAGTTCCAAGCAGTTATCCAAGAGACTGTTTCAATGATATACAAACGAGGCTTAATTTAATTTTCCAAATTTTTTGTTTTAAATTTTCCGAACCTGTCTCAATTTTTTAATATGGACAAATCTGCTCTCTCTAGATCTGGCAGAGCATTCTTGAAGTCTCCTGTCTAACAGAATACTGAAAATGCTGTTTATTAGTAATGCTTTTTGTCTAGTGATGAGAAAATCAAAATTTATTGTTACATTTAGTGACTGCTGCACTAACTGCATATCGATTAGTAGTATGGATTTCTAAGTGTAATGTTTAAGTCATTAGATAATTTAAGATTAAAATATGTCGGTATATTGTGATGAGCTTATGGTAAATCAGCACTTCGATAATTTCAGTGCAAGTGGCAAGTGGCAAAACAAGTAAATCCAGCACCTCCATATCCTTTTTGGCAGCTTTACACACCTTTTCAACAGACTCAAGCTCCTTTAATTCAGCATTAAGCAATCCTTCCATTAAAGCCGCACGTTCAACACATTATCGCAATAATGCTACTTCTTCTTTCAATTTATTATATTCCTCTTCAGACACTTGTTGCCGTTGAATCTCGTCTTCTGGTAACAAAACATTATCGGGAATTTTTAACATTCTTTCAATTTCATCATCAATAATTTTAAAAGATCAACCCGCACGTGAGTAATACAAATTTATTAAATTACCACAAGACTGCGTTAAATCTGCTTTATCAGTGTTGTTCAGATCTAATTCCTCTTGCAAAAACGATTCCATTTCCTTGACGCCCTCTCTAATTTTATCTTTCACCATTTGTCGCACAGCAATTTTAAAACGTTGGGCTCCAAAACCAAAATGTTGAGTTTCATACTCTTCCTCAGTTCCACCACTCCAAGATTCTGTTCTATTCATTTTTAGATTTTTACTTGTGAGCTGGAGACACTTAAATTTATAATTATTAATTACTTAGACACAACAAAATTTCAAATTCAAAATCAAAACTGATCAAAACCGTTACCGTTTGATACCAAAAACCAAAAAGTATTTGATTACTTTTTTAATTACGAATTTTGATTTGGATTCTTGTCTTGTATATTTTATAGATTTTTTCTTCACAATATGCTGATGCATCACATTGTAGAGTTTTTGGCAGATTTTGGTGACAGCTCAACCCAGCGGATCATTGATGACGATAGTCACACAAGTTCATTAGGCGCCTAAGCGATCAAAATAACTTGAGGCTTATCAACATCGAAGCACTAGTTTCGTCATTTTCTCTAATGATGTACTTTCTGAACAGCGCTTCGATATGACAACAAAACCATTTGTATGTGCTTGTCTTAATCTCGTTGCCGACTTTCCATAACTTTTGCTTAGTACTAGTTCAATGTCTGATTAAATCGTTCTACTATTCCATCAGATTTCGGGTGATAAGAAGTTGTTCTTGTTATATGAGTATCCGTAACTCGGCAAGTTTCCTGTAACATTTGAGACTCATAATTCTTTCCTTGATCCCAGTGAATCTCCAAAAATAATCTAAGACGACAGAAGACTTCATGAACTAGTTTATCTGCAACTGTTGAAGGTTCTTGATTTGGAATGGCGAAAACTTCTGGCCACTTATTGAAGTAATCCATCACAACCACGAAATATTCACTTTCCCATGGTGCACCAACATTGTACAACTTCAATGCACCTCTACTAAGAGTCTAAGGTCTCGGCAGTGAACCTAGTAAGACCGTTTTCGGATATTCAATAGAGTTCGTTTAACTCCCAGATGGCCTCCGGAACAACCATTATGGTACAGCTGTAGAATCAAATCAAATCAAATAATTTATTCAGTATCAGATATTTTACATAGCAGTGTTTTGAATGAGGACTTCTTTTAAGTAAATAAATACTTGTGTTAGAAATCCCCCCTCTCCGTAACATTGATTAACGAATACTAATGTGATACCTACTTACTTTAATACTTAATCTAAAAAACATATTTTTAATTTAGATTTTTAAAGTTGCTCTAAAACACAGATTAAGACACAGATTAAGAACATCCGGTACTTTAGCTTTGGGGACAACCATTTGCAAATGACACCTATCTCCCCGACCATTTTCCCATTTACTTCACAGAACTCCATCCTGAATCAGCAAGCTGTCCCATTGGGCCCAATAGCTTTTCGTGGTCGAACTCATAGCTGAGACATGGCTCCATTCGGGCTTGGGAACACTGGTCTTCATCCATTTCGGAATCGGCTTTGTGTCCGAATCTTTCTACTGTGCATGTTGTAGGCTGCCCTTCCACTCGTTGCTAAGGTGGTCTGCCCTGAGCGTCCTCACATATACCACTTTCTTACCATCTTGCGTAGTACAATGCTTGCATTCTTCTGAACAAGGTCTTCTTGACAATACATCTCCCGCTGCGGCTATAACATGCGACCAGTTTGGCGCGCTGCTTGATTGTAAGTTATCCAAGATAATTGTATTGATATAAGAGACGACATCACCCACCTTCGCTAATGTCTCGACGCCTTGAACACCAAACTGGCCGACTATGATCGGCGAATAAAATGTATTGAGTCCGTTGAAAAAGAAAACAATGTCCCTAAGGCCACCGTTGCCGACCTGAAGTCTCGTCTAAATATTTATTTATTTATTTATTTATTTATTATGACACATCAACAGCATAACACACAATACATTTATATGCAAATCTTACATAAAACAAAGGCCTGGTATGTACGCCAATAAAGACGTGTACAACATTCTCTTAAAATCTAAGACATGTTATTATAAATACGAATATTAGAAAACAAAAAAAAGCACAAAAATAGTACACAGAATATCAAAATAATTTTACAAAATTTTAAGAAATTTTAAGAACCTACTTAGAGAGCAGGTACACAGATAACTTCTTTCTCAAACTAATGCATGAGTCATGAAAAATGTCAATGTCAACAAATACACATACCCGGTTGTATTCGGCGCAAATTTTTGATATAGGCGAATTTTTTAAGAGGTTCGTTCTACTGGCAGGGATGTAAAAGATTTTAGTAATAGGATGGCGTGGATAGTTGCATGGGATGTTAAGATTAATGAACTGAAGTAGGTTATTACAATCTACGGCACCAGAAATTATTTTTTTAAAAACAATATATTTAACAATACACGACGGTCACAAAGTGACATCATTGCGAAATGTTTGAGACGAACGTTATAGGTGTTACGGTGTGAAATGTCCGAAGAATGGAACGCAAGATGTCTAGTAAATGAACGCTGTATGCTTTCAATGCGTTGGGAATAAGTGATAAACTGAGGACCCCAAACCACCGATGCAAACTCTAGGTGACTTCGAACCAAGGCGTTATATAAAATTATTTTGGTTTTGGCTGACATAAAACCTTTAGCGTTTCGTTTTAGGAAGCCAAGCATTCTTCCAGCTTTTTGGACGGTAGCGTCAATGTGAGACTTAAAATTTAATTTGCTATCCACTATTACGCCTAAATCTCGAACTTCTTTAACCTGCTCCAAGGTATCAGAGTTCATCTTATAGGAGGACATGAAAGGTATAGACTTTCTTGAGAATTTAATGTGATATGATTTTTTAGTATTAAGTATCATACCATTTAATTGACACCATGTACTAATTCTGTTTAAATCACTTTGGATGAGTTGCACGTCTACAATAGATTTTACTGTTTTGTATATTTTTAAATCGTCAGCAAAGAGACAGAATTCAGAGTTGCGTATTTCAAAAGTTATATCATTGATAAAGGCAGCAAAAAAGGACTGGACCCAGATGCGATCCTTGCGGAACGCCTGAGAACGCTATATAACTTTCTGATTTGTAACCATTCACTACCACAAACTGAAGTCTTTTTGCTAAATAAGACTGGAACCATTCTAGCAAAGATCCACATACCCTATATCCTTTTAGCTTGTTAATTAAGCGCGAGTGACAGACTTTATCGAATGCACTAGAAAAATCCATATATATAGCATCAACTTCCTGTCCTTTGTCAATTTCTTTACAGAGATACGACATAAATGATACAAGGTTAGTTTCAATCGAATGACCCTTCCTAAACCCATGTTGATGGTCTGATATACATGTGCTTAAGTGACGCGTAATAATTGGACATATCAAGGATTCAAACAATTTAGGAATACATGAAATAATTGAAATCGGTCTGTAGTTACTAACGTCATTAATAACGCCTTTTTTTAAATACCGGAACGATCTTTGAATTTTTCCAAATATCAGGAAATACTCCATCACGCAAAGATTGATTGAAAATAATAGCCAGTGGTAACGCTAAGGCCGAGATACAACGTTTGACGAACACAGGGGGAATCTCATCTGGGCCAGCTCCCTTGAAAATGTCAAGCTTTTTGACTGCACCTATAATGTCTCTTTCAGTTAATTTTACAGAATTTAAACATGAATTATTGAACATAGATACGTCACAGCCGTCGTTTGCAGCCACTTTACTAAAAACAGATGAAAATTTGTTTGCAAACATTTGGGCAATATCTGGTCCGGTGTTTGCGACCTGATCAGCTTGATACATTATAGCTGGGATATTGGATACACCATTGCGCCTGTCCTTCACAAAACGCCAAAAGCTTTTTTGGATTTTTAGAAATATCGCTTTCAATTCTTTTTTAAAATTAAAAAGGCATTGACTACTTACATTATGAGCACGTTCGCGAAGAAGCTCGTATTCTAGTTGATCACGAGGGTTCTTTATATATTTCAAATATTTTAATCTTTTTCTGCTTTTCTCGGAAATTATTTTAATTAGGGAATTGCTAAACCACGAAGGAAATTTAGTTAGTTTAGGTCTTGTTTTAGGAATATAGGATGTACGGCTATATTTAAAAAGTGGTAAAATATATTAGTCATTTCGTTAACATTTTGACATTTTTCTAGCTCCACTTGCCAGTTAATGCTCTTCAAGTAAGGTACAATATTGCCATAGTCTGCTCTAAAGTAGTTGTAACGATGGCTTATTATCGGCTTGAGGTACTCGGAAGTAAGTTTTGGGATCGATATCAAAATTGGAGGATGTTTTTGATCTACTTTGCTAAGCATACTTATAGATTTAGTAACATTTAAACAATCAACATTGGATAGAACTAGATCTAGTATTCTACCATCAACATTAGACACATCGTTCATTTGCGATAAATTATTGACAGCCATAAAGTCAATAAGAGAGAGTCCTAGTTTCGAACCATAATTTGTTGCAATACATGGGTCACTATCCGACTTACGGGACCAATCAATAAAACCTAAGTTAAAGTCGCCCAATATTATGACTTTATCTGATATATCTATGATATCAGTAGAGTTTTCTAAAAAGCTAGATAAAGTTTCAGAAGAAACAGGAGGAGGTAAGTAAACGGCACAGATAGAAATTTTTTTGGAGTGTGTCGTTAGTTTTAACATCAATAGATACCCATAAATCTTCTGTATTACTTTCCCAATTTGATTTTCGAGAAGAAGGAATATTTTTAGACACTGCAACCATCACACCTCCTCCGTCTTTCTTTGAACTCCTTGAGCATGATCTATCCTTTCTATATACAACGTAACGTTTATCTATAAATTCACTGTTCATTATATTAATATTCAACCATGTTTCAGTAAATACAATTAAGCTATAATTATTCGTAAGTATATTTTTAAGAACATCCTCCGTTTTAGTCCTCAAACCTCGTACGTTTTGATAGTAAATTGTTACAGACATTTTGAAGGATAATCTATCGTAACATTGAGATTCTAACACTAGACAATTAATTTCAAGCTTTCTTCATGTTTAATATAGATGGCATGACTCTGTTCATGTTTCCGAACAAAGATCCTACCGTCCCGCACCCAAACAAATTTGGCGCCGGTCTCTTTTGCTTTTTTTCGAGCCGCCGCATATAGGTGCTTATTTTTCGGTGTTAAATGTTCGCTAACATATACAGGCACTCGACGTCCACCAATTCCCAAATGCTCAGAGTTTAATTTGTTATCAGGATTCTTTTTATTAAACTTTGTTACTGCTGCTAACAACTCATCGCGACGGCGTTGACTACGTAGTTTGACAATTACGGAGCGGGGTCGGTCGCTCTCCTTGTTGAGCTTCGCAATACGGGATACGTGCAAAACATCATTGTCACCGAGGGGGTTTTCAATCGCAAATCCCAGCTGCTCTATAGTTTTTAGAAGATTTTCCGATTTATGCTCTGGGATTCCATTGATTTCGACGTTAGGAGCACGCATGTTTTGCTCTATTTGCTCTATCCTCCCTGTCAAACTCCTTACCTGCGACGATAGATTGTCATTTTTCTGAATTAAACTCTGTATTACTTCGTTTCTTTCCTTCACAGTTTGCATAAGTTCGTCATATTGTTTACTAAAGAATGCTAGAGATTCGTGGAAGCCAGTTACCTGGGACGCGATATTTGTTAGGTGTTCAGAAACCAATTGCTTGATGGTGTCAGTTAAATAGCCAAACTCAGATTGCTTCAGGAAATGAGCTGGAAATATCGGGTTTAGAAGAAACGCCAAATGAAAACCCAACTCACTTGGTATTAACTGTCGCCGCTAAACTGGGCATTGAGCTTCAGGATGTCATCATGTGGAATACGTATATGGGCTGTAACTTTAACATCTGTTTACAGTTTTTTACAGTTGTATGTTTTGACCAGAATAAAGAAGTTGAATATACCACTTCTAAAACTCATTATTGCGAGTTCTAGCTCCATAAGTCTTTGTTCAGATTACAATATCCTTAGTTCTTTAAAACCGTATTTTTTAATTTGTTATTTACAATACAGTTATCGGTTTAAAGTTCAAACACATGTTGAATGTCAAGTCGAGTGTTGGTGGCGACGGGTTGTTTCTAATCTTTATATCTGCGGTAAAAAAACTGATGATTTATAACGCCCTTGTAACGAAGAGTTACGGGTAACACTTTTAATTTCATGGACTTGAATTATGCGCACCGAGCTGGTCCCAAAAACCAAAACATAAATACTAACGTGAGTGGGAACCGTAAACTTCATCGTTCCTTGGTGGTTGCTTTCACCCGTCGGGCTAAACGTGAGGGATTCCTTAAACACGCGAAAGCTAGAAAAAACCTAAAGAGTAAAGACATTCTGAATCATGGGCCTAAAAATTTGATCTACGTAAATGAGAAGATGATGAAAATCGACGATTATTTCGTACTGCGAGAGCTTTCACCGTCGAACATGGTTACAGGTTTTGCTGGCTGCGGAACGGATCCATATTTTTTAGGAAGGAGGATGTCAAGGAAGGTAGCCCCGCAATCCGTATTAGGTCGGAAAATAATCTCGCCGCCTGCTCTGTGCCCAAACCAAACCGGATACAGCGACCACTCGGTAAACGTTACCTGAACCTCAAGAGCCTAGTCATTAATATATTGTCACTAATTTGTAGCCCATATGGGCGTCATTTTTCTTATATACTACTTTTCATAACTTTGAATTTAACTCTACATAATTGTAAGCCCAATCACACACACATTTTAACACACCTGCACATCTTCTCCCCCATGGTACATTCCTCAAAATATTTCGTGGTTTTTCACCCCTTCTTCTGTTTATATGGCACTCTCCCCTTTAAGGGGAAATATAACCTCAAATGGCTTAGCAAGATCCTCCGTTATGCTGAAAATATTGAAGCATTAATTTTGAAATAAATATATGGTAAAGTTGAGGATTAATGTTAAGGACTATGTTAGACGAAAACACGATTCCGTAAAATTTTCTCGATAGAAAAAAAATCCAAAGTTACCTCCAAAATAAACAATAAACCGCTGTTATTCATAAAATACTTTAAATAAGATCATGAAACTTTGCATACTAACTGAACTAACTATAAAGCAGTGCTTGTGTTATTTACTTTTTTTTAAATACCATTATTTTGACCGTAAAAAGAAATTACCTAAACTATCGGCCTCTTGAAGCGTGATTCCTGCCGCCCGGTCAGTTTCGCTTCGGCCTTTGAAGGGGGGAGGTTGTGTCGCTTACGATCAGAATACACATTACGCAACAGGACGACGTAAAATTAAAATGGGAAATAACCGTAATAAAAATAAGAAGCGACTGGCTTGGCGTTAAGAAACAGGCATAAATATGATAAACCTAATGAAATAAGTGTCTAACGACCTATCTACTTACAGTATTAGTGATTACAAACATGTCGGTACATAGCATATGACGCGCGGGGAAGTGGGGGCGAAATTAGAATTTGAGCTGACTTACTATATCCCCTTAATGCCAAAATACTCCAATCAATTTTTCATGATCTTCCCATGGCTTCCCTAGAATTGAACGATGCTATAGATAATTCATCTCATATAAAGTGCCACAACATAACGGTCCCAGAGGATTGTAAAGACGTTCTTTTTAGATTTTCATTTAGGATTTCAAGCCTGAACATAAGAAGCATGCGTGAAAATTTTGATAACTTCCTAGTAACCCTAAAAAGATTAGATCTTGATTTTGACGCTATTGTCTTCAGAGAGTGCTGGCTTAATGAGTTTGCGGCGGTCCCCCTATTGCAAGGATTTACATTATTTTACTCTAAAAAGTATATTAACAGGGCAGGAGGAGTCGCTATCTACATAAAAGATAGGTGGACAGCCAGCTTTTCCGAGCTGAACGTTGACGGGAGTAATTGTATTCTCGCAGAAGTTGCAAATCACTTCTCAATAAAAGCCGCTTACAGATCACCTGGTTACACCAACCCAGAAACATTTATTCGCTCTCTTGATGCTAACTTAAAAACGGTAAGTTCCTCTCCTTGTCTTATTTTTGCTGAAGACATAAACATAAATATTATTGGGTCCGCAGCTGACAAAAACTTGCACACGGAGTACTTAGATGTATTAGTAGAGTACGAACTTTTGCCAGCTATAACCAAATCAACTCTGGTCAAAACCTGCATATATCATATTTTTGTCCCCGAAAAATCTAATACGTAGTCCGTAGTCTATCTCAATGATGACACTGACCATGATATCACTATGGCAGGCATAATATTAAAGACCAAAACATATTCGATCAAGATTTTTAGTTGACATAGACTCAATGGGATCAGAGCTGGAGGGAACGGACTGGTCCCCAGTAATAAACTGTAGCTCTCTTGATGAGTCTGTAACTCATTTCACTAAAACGGTATCAGAGACAATATTGAGATATTCGAAAACTTGTTTAATAAGCCGCTCCAGAACCACCTAACACCACTGGATGTCTCCTAGTCTAATCAGATGCTCTAAACACCGCGGTAAGCTTCATATTGAATATCGCAAGGACCCAAACAACCCAACTAAAAAACTTATATATACGCGCTATAGAAATTTTTACATAGGTCTAATCAGAAGGCTAAAACGTGATTACAACAAAAAGAAATAAATAAAAATAAATGTACTTAAAAAAAACTCTGGGGTACTATTAACCGCATAACTGGCAAAGACACTAGCTTAAGTTCTCCCCTGGCTCCCATCAACTCAAAGCCCTCTGTAAAGGAGTCTCTCGATATTTGTAACTCCTACTTTGCCTCTGTAGGTAATAAGCTGGCAGACTCTATCATGATGAAATTAAATGAGACTCAAGAGTCCCTTGCCGAAAAAATTCACATTCCTGATCAACCCGTTGGTTCATTTTTCATGAATCCTACAGACGAACTGGAAGTTTTGGGTTGATTCAGGTAGTGCCCCAGGTATGGACGGCATCACTAACAAACTTTTAAAATCAGTAGCTCACACAATCTCGGAGCCCATGGCTGCGATGTTTAACTTAAGTATCTCGTCGAGAGTCTTCCCAAGCCAGTGGAAAGTTGCGGCAGCTATCCCCATATACAAGAATGGAGCTAAGGACGATCCTTGTAATTATCGACCCATATCACTGCTTGGTGGTTACTCCCAGCTAAGCTCCTGGAACGTTTTTTCCATAAGTGGCTGACTAACTATCTTGAAAATAATAGCATACTCTCGGACCGGAGACAGCCGTTGTAGCTCAGATGGTTAACGCTCGCTGTAAATATAACAGAACGCGAGTAACCCGGGTTCGATCCCCGCCGGCACCAATGAAATTGTTAATTGCAATTTTAAGTGCTAATTTACCACGTGCTCGACGGTGAAGGAAAACATCGTGAGGAAACCTGTATGTCTGAGGAATAAGAAAAAAAATATTTCGAAGACATGTGAAGTTTATCAACACGCATTTGGGCAGCGCGGCGGACACTTCCTTGCCCTAAACCCTGTCAAAAATGAGGAGAGGCCTGAGCCCAGCAGTGAGACGTATATAGGCTGTAACTTTACTTTTATTTTACTCTCGGACCGTCAGTTTGATTTTCGCCAGGGACAATCGACTGAGAATGCAGTAACTCTTCTCACCAATATGGTTGTAACTCATCTCATCAGGGTCGATCCTGTGTCAGTGTTTTTCTCGATCTGGCTATAGCATTCGACACGGTATCTATCCCCATCCTGCTTAAGAAACTAAGTGCTCTTGGGATTCGTGGTCTAGCTTTAAACTGGTTTTCCAGTTATTTCTCGGATAGAAAGTAATGCGTCCAAATAGGCGATCAGGCAACCGATCTGTAGATTTTGACGTTCCTCAAGGTGGCATCTTGGGGCCGAGTCTTTTTATTTCGTACATTAATGACATTATGTCATTTTAACTTAAAAATAGTGAGGTTGTGTGTTATGCTGACGATACAGCCATAATATTGGTAAGGTTGCATAAACTACAAAAATGGTTAAATAACAACATCTTAACACTGAACCTCAAAAAAGCAGTTAATTTGTTTTCGTAAAACTGCAGCGTCTGAACCGCCACCCTCACTTTTCAATAACCTTAAAGTACACAATAACAACTGTAGTTTTCGCTCCGTAAACTCTCCTAATTGTAACTGTGACCAGATAAATAGGGTCGGCTCCCTTAAATATTTGGGCATTATAATAGATGAAAATCTTAACTTCAAAAGTCATATATCGGCGACATCAGCCAGGGTCCGTAAGCTGATACACACGATGAGACTATTGAGATATTCTACTGATGGCGGCATTTAAAAGTCCGTCTACCTTGCACTATGTCAGTCCATACCAGTCTATTGTATACTGACGTGGGGCGGTATATCCTCCTCTACGTTGATAGTACTGGAAAGTGCCCAGAAAGCAGTTTTGAAGGTGGCTATGGGTAAACCAAAGCTCTATCATACATCAGATCTCTTTAGAGAAGCTCAAGTCTTAAGTGTACGTAGATTGTATCTTCTGAGGGCCTTTACATTTATGCACAGGGAAGCTTCTAAACTGCCGACGTTTGATACTTTAATTAATTAAGGAGTGTTTAAGATCCCCACAACCT